CACACACACACACAGAGAGAGAGAGAGAGAGAGAGAGAGAGAGAGAGAGAGAGAGAGAGAGAGAGAGAGAGAGAGAGAGAGAGAGAGAGAGGCAGCGACGTTAGACACCGTAGGCAGTCAGATACGAGTCCGAGAGACAGAGAAGCTGAGGCCGCTGTAGCGCTGTATGAGAGGGATAAGAAGAGGGAGGAGAGTGCTTCCGCTACGTCACTGACGGGCTCATTTGCCTCGAACAGAGCCATTTGAGCTAGTACCTGTTTAGCTCTATCCGCTAAGAAACACAGACGTACTGTAACAGAAATCGAAACAGCAGTGGTTGATTCCAAGGCAACAGCCGCTCGTGAAGCCATAATGATAATTCGCTTTTTCATCCAAAACCGACTTTTCCGTTTATTTCAAATCCAATGCACGTCCTCTTTCTGGCTCAACAAAAAAAATGTCAAATCAGACAATCTCAGAATTCGCACTCTGCTCACCCTGCTCCTCTTCATCCACACCTATCGGACATTTAATGTTCCCTAGAATGCCACGTCACCACTCGATCCCGCACATGCCACGTCACCACCGCTCCTTTCCCTACATCCCACGTCAGCACCCATTGATTCCCTCCAAGCCACGTGATCGCTTCCCTACCCAGGAGAATCTTCGGACCCTTTGCTCAGCTCAGGACGAAAAAGACAAAACGGACTATAAACCAATTACCATAATAATAAAAGGGTTGAAAGAGGGGGGAACCCAAAAAAGCTTCAAAAGAGAGAAGAGAGAACGCGAGAGTATCCTTATTTTGGACAACCCTCGCAGGCAAAAGCGAGAGAAGGCGATGGTTTCATTATTTCGGACACTCCTTGCACGAGTCCTTGATGTAGGAAGCGAGATCGGGCGACTCGAGGACCACCCCGACTCGAGGCCGCTTCTTGCAGAACTGCACCCCATCAGTCCCGTCCATAATCCCGCCAAAGTACACGTGTTCCACTCTCGATCTCCCTCCGCTCGTTGTCACATAATTTCCCTCGAATTTACAATTGCAGAAAGTACCCGACCCATCAAAACCGAGTGTAACGGCACCACCCGAGTTATTCACAAACGAAGAGCGAATGAACCTCACGCCCCCTTTGGACACGCTTATCGGACCTCCCGTGTTGGCCTCGAACCTGCACCTTCGGCCACTCACGTTTCCTTTGTAGAGAGAGATCAACGGCCCTGTGTTCGATCGAAAGACTACATCACCCAGACCCACGCTAACATACATGCCGCTGATCAAACCGCCGCTGTTACCAGTAAACGTCGAGCGTTCGATACTTAGTACATACGCGGAGAACATGCCATAACTCACCGTGTTTTTGGTGACGAGGCAGTTGCGGACCACGATAATCCCCGGCATGTAGGCAATGGTACGACGGAAATTGGTGAGATGGAAGTTCACGAGTTCGAGGCCCGGCGTTACCCCGTTCCCACCCGTCGCATTGAATCCTGAGAACTTCTGTCCGCCGTCGATCTTGCATGGTCTCCATCGTCCGTCACGTGTCCTGCAGTTGCCCACGACCGTCAGATTGGGGCAGGTCATGACGGGAAGGTCAGACGTGAGCAGGATGTCAGATGTCAGTCGGAGGACCGTCTTGTTGCGACTCGTCACCGCCGCTCGCAGCCGAGCCTCAGGTGTGGTGGGCCTCGCTGCGGCGAGCGCACGGCGTCTCTCTGTCGCCGCCGCCACGCCGTCCGAGGCCTTCACCCCGCCGCTGCCATAGCCGCCCGAGCTCACAAGCACTAGCAACAGAAGCGCCACAACCGGTGCGCGGGCCGTGCGCCTTCGCGAAGTCCGGTATTCTCCCGCCATAGCCGCAGGCAAAAAGCAAGCACGATTGCGCGGGGAGGGGAAACGGATGCGCAAAAGAGAAGGAACAATGCTTCACACATCGCCAACGCTGGGCGAAATAGCCAACCGTGGCCACTGGAGGAAGGGAATGACGAGGCAAGGGAAATTAAAAATAAACAAAAAAAATGCCTTTTTTCGGCCTTTCCTTTTTTTTTTTTTTTTTTTTTTT